GTACTATTATAAATGTAACTTAGTGCCAGTCTAAGAAATCCGCATAATTTTCTACCCTCGGATTAAACAGAAATTGAGATTCCGTGGAATTATGCCCCCTTGGGAAAAAGTAAGCCTACAGTATCTAGATTACTTTACTGACATTTCAAATTTGTTGTCACGAAAATTCATAAATTTCTTACATAATTTTAGCTCAAAAGTAAGAAAGTTTTATAATGTTAATTATGGTTAATTATGGTATCATAATAAACCTAAAACCAGAAAAAAATGTAAATTCATTATCTAGATCTTTACCTTAAATGTCCATATTGCCTAAGCATTGTTTGTGCTATATATCGACAAGGAAAATGGAGGTAAAGAAGTGGTAAGATTATGACATTTTCCAGAATTACTTTATGAATTGACATATTCAAACAAATATTAGAAATGGACCCCCAACAATACAAATTTAGTGTCTGTATGTTAAACCATAACTCTGTCAATTCATTTACTTATTTATACTTTTATCTCTTTCAGACCCTTCCACCTCCAAAGAAAGGTATTTTGCAAAACTTTTCTAAAAAATCAAATGCTGTGATCTGAAATTAAATTTTGGTTTCATTTTTGCAAATGTCATATGTAATTTCAAATCCCCATTTTTCAGCTCCTGCTGAACCTAGACAAGCCCCCAGACCCCTATAGGTGGGGGCCCATGGGTTTTGATATCAGTGCTATCAAAGGAGTTCAGCTCAAGAAAGTGGGATTGCCAGTGGAAGACAAACAGAAAGTCAAGGAGTCGGACAAAATTTACGATGAAGATGGAGGCGTCAAATCAGCATTTGAAAAATTCAAACAGAAAGGTATGGAAGAATAGAATTGAATGAGTTAAAGAAAAAGTACAACTTGTTGGAAATATTTCCAATTTAAAATTGTATTTATTTGGATGGGAAAAATAGATAGATTACCTTATAAGCAGGAATTTTAGTGAAGATTTAATTTTAGCATTATTAGCAAGGGTGCTGAGAATGCTGAAATTGAATATCGTTAAAAATTAATTGCATTTTATTTCTTATAGCTTCTTTAGTGAGAATTCTGAAATCGCTAAAATTTCATCTCGATAAAAATAAATTACCACTTTTTAAGGATAAATCGCTAAATTTGCATCTCGCTAAAATTTCCACTTATATGGTAATTAAAAGAAAAGTACAGCTTGTTGGAAATATATGTGAATCAAAACTGTATTTTCTTTAATATCAAGTAAATGTGAATTTTGTTTCTGCAAGTAGCAATGCTTTATGCAAATTTACTTTGCATCTGGATTAAAGAATAAAGGTCTTTATGTTAATTAAGCCTTCTATTGGAGGTATAGATATCCTAATAAGGGGGTATAAAGAAGCCAGAAATTGTATGGAAGAGGTCTAAAATTTGTGCTTGTGATGAAAAGCAGATGATGGATTCGATAAACTCACGTTGCTTATTTGTCAGATAATAACCAGGTTTTTTGTAAATATGTTTGTTATATAAAAATTGATATATTTATAAAATAATAATATTTACAGGAATTTCTGGCTCTCTGCTGTACATGTACAAATTTTCATCTGTGTAAATTAAGGATTTGTATCAGAATTGCTCTGTACAATATGTTTCTATAACTTCCAACAAATGATAATCAGATTTTCTTTCAGGATCAGGTGTAGAGCAAATAGACTTTAGAAATATTTTATCTAAGGCTAAAAATAATATTCCCCCAAATGACACCGGAAATAAGCCACAGAAAACAGTACCACCAACTCCAATGAAACCCCCAGTGAGCAAATGGGGATTGAAAAGTACCCAAGGGGAACAAGGTTCCCAAGAAAATGTAACCAAAAAACTCCCTCCTGTGCCTCACAAGCCATCAGAAGAAGAACAGCAGACCGAATCACCTCAAAAATCACCCATACCTTTCAAACCCAAGCACAGCGATCATCATACCTTCCCAGAAGTTCCAACACCAACTGTGAGGTTGTCTCCCCTACCTGATTCACCTCAGAGAAAGGAGGTGCCAGTACCTCCGAGGCAAACTGGTCCAAGCCATGACACGCCTCCCATCCCGGCCGTGAGGGTCAGTGTCTATGGCACTCAATGCATGTCTCTGTAACACCAGCATCGCATGGATGATGAACTCTTAGCTCCTTGGGGTTTCACCTATACTCACACACCTATATATAACATCACAAAATATAACCTCTGCTAAGACAATATCCTCTCTATCAAGGATATGTTGTATATATATTTTTATATATATATATATATATATAATTTCATTTTTTATGAAATACGTATCTGGACACAGAATCACATTTGTCTGAAATTGTGCAATCATGTTTAAAGGCTGCAGAGTGTTGCACTTGATTTGCTTGATAAAAAGAAAATTTTAAACATAAAATAAGTAATATTCCAGTTCTAAATATATATTTTTTGATGCGTTCCAACTAGATATGATAACTCAATCCTGAATTCCACAGAAAGTAATTGGATGTATCCTGAGATCTATATTTTACCGATCGGAAACAATGAACATATTGTGTCAAAGACTTACTTTTAGGATCCGTATTTGCTATTAGTGATCATAGGTTGTTTTCCTTGTATGTCATCATCATACACTTAAGTTTATTCTCTTCGTGTAATGATACTGAAAAGGCACCTTTATTTAGAAATAAAGATGACAATCATTATATTCCAACATCGTTATTTACCCTTTGGAAATATTTTAAGATACTGGAATAAAAATAAAACATGTAGTTATTAAATTGGTTTTTGACAGAAAATTCTTTAGTATGTATTTTTTTTATTGTAATTTTATTTGATATTTTTTCTGCATACATTTATTTTTTTTTTTTAATTAAATTTTTGATTTTTTAAATTATATCACTTTCTTACCTTTCATATTTTAGAATCTGTTATTTATACTAATTTCTTGAAGGTTGTTTCTCAAACTATTATTTTTTTTTATTCTAAGAGGTATTGAAATTTTCCTTTCTCTTCAAATGTTAAGAAAAAAAAAAGATTTTGAAGTTTCTACTCCTTTATGGAAGAACTTGAATAACAATTTTTTTTTATTGATATTTTATTGTCTGATTGTTTATTATTCTGTATCTTGTATCCAATACAGTGAAACACGCTTATAACGAACACGCTTACAATGAATTAATGCCAAAAGCGAAGTCATTTTCATTGCTTGGACCCTGTGGCTTTAAAATATTTTTGACTTCATGGATATATATTAATAATGAATTCTGTTTATAACGAAGCAAATTTGCCCATCCCTGGACACTTCGTTATCAGCGTGTTTCACAATATATTACTCTTTGCATGCCATCATCTTTCCTTCCAGACTTGGAATCATCTAAGACAAAACCGTTTCCAAAATCTGCAGCTTCTGTTGCAACAGCTCTAAAGAAACCGGTAACGGCAACAAAGCCTGATTTTTTCCCGCGACCAGTTAAGAAACCTGAATCGAATAATTCAAATACGAAACCAACACCACCTGAACCTAAGTCACCCATGCCGCCATCTTTTTCTAAACCGGTTAGTTCAAGAAAAGATAAAATCAAGTTGTCAGTTTTGGTTTTCGTTATTTAATTGATCAAATGACAATGACGTTGAAAAATAAAGTATGGGCTTACTTGACAAACAAAACTATCAATTCACTTACTGTACGAGTATTATGTTAAAAATAAACCTTGCATACGTTGAAAAATAAAGTATAGACTTCCTTGACAAACAAAACTATCAAATCACTTATTTATGTTAAAAATGAACCTTGTAAACCATATACAATACAATATAGGTGTAGGTCATTTCAAAAAACAAAAATGATTTCAAAATATCTTCATTTTCTAGATCTTTGTTTCTACGTCAAAATTATTAATATTATTAAAATTAAAATATTCACTATTTAATTAGAATTTTATCATCTACACAGCACACCGAAGTTAACATGGGCAGTATGTAACGATTCACTCGTTAGTAACGTTATGTTGAAAGTTTTTATTATTTAATTTACCTATCACTCCTTTAAATTGCATGTTTCATGAATAATTATTTATAAATATATAGAAATGATCATTTTGCATATTTTTTCTTTGATTCTATTTCTATATTTTTTCTATTAATTTCATTTTACCAGTATTTAAAATTTACTATTAATTTTTTTAAATGCTCGGTATGTTTATTCTGAATGTTGTTTATCAATGTTCATCTTTATTTTAACTATGAACTAAAACTTTGAAAAAAAATTAGACAGTGATATTTACTAAAATGAATTGCTATTGTAAAAAAAAAATAAAATATGAGGAAAAAAACGTTTGTTACCTCACTTGAAGTTTATTTTTAGTAAACATCGTTGTGTCCAATCTTACAGCGATCTCCCTCCCCCTCTAAGGAAACACCTCCTCCGCCCCCGCCCGTCAAATCGGTTCCAGACAAACCCCCCGTGCCTTACTCTCAAGTCAAACCCAATGTCTCCAATGGCACCAAGATGAATATAGAGGAGGACCACGTCTCGTCAGATGATGAGGATGATGACATTTACGATGACGCTATTTCAGTAAGTGGCTTTTCATTTAAAAAAAAAAAAGAACGAAAAAAAAGCAATCTTAGTTATATTTCAAAACCGTATCAAAAATACAACAGTGTTGATACTCAGGTACGTGTAATAGCTATACCCGGTAGATTTTAAGTATGTTTAAGACACTCAAATCCCTACATCATCTTACCCTCGAATGGCTTAGATACCAGGCTCCAAGATCATGTAGCAGATTTACTCTTGGGTCATATTTTCAATCGCTTGTAAAGTGTCTATAAATAGTCAATGAAATCACAGGCACCTAACGTTACTTATTTTTCTTTTGATAAAAAAAATATACCCATACCTAATTATTAGGTATAGGTATATTCTTTTTTATGAAAAGAAAACTAATCAGGTGCCTGTGAATGAAATTTATATATATTGAGTATTTGAAGATAACAGCATTTTCACGATGAATTTAAATTTTGGACTATTTCACTAGGACAAAATTTGAGCACCAGATAAAATTTTGGACTTAAGGTTAAGATCTTTCATGATCCTGGAGCTAGATATCTTTTAATTTTCTTAGAAGCTAAAGAACAAGGTACAGTTTCAATACAAATTAAGCTCTGTATTTTCAAAAATATAAGAAATTAAAATTCATTCTTTCTGAATAACAGGAATTACATGCAGTAAGAATACACAAATCTTTTTCTCATATGACCTACTAAATGCTAATTGTGACGTCATTAACTTGTGCATTTTCTCGTATGTTCTTATAAAGTTGCAGAAGACATCAATTTTCAGTGGAATTTTCTTTCAGAAAACATACTCTGCCACCTACAAAGATTTTGAGATATGTGATTTTTCAAAGCAATTTACATAATATATCCAAAAATTGAAGCGAGCATAGTGGCAGACACTGTTTTCTAAAGAAAAAAAAGCAGAGAAATGATCGAGTCATTCTGAGGCTTTTCTGCAGTAAACTTAGAAATGTACCAAATTAGTGATGTCATATTTCTAGTATGATCCTCCTTCATGCCATATTCTTTAATGATTTATCATATACATCTACTCAACTATTGTTAAAGCTAATTTCATAACATTTTTAAGAACATTGAATTTTTAGGGCACAATAAAGCCCGTATTGTACCTTCTTTTTTTCTACAAACTAATATATATTGATATGTTGAAATTATTTAGTACGGATGTACATTTCATCATCCTACCTTCCTGTTTGAATTATTGAAAGTTTCTTTAAAACAAGAGAATCAGATACTCAGTAATGAAAGCCATGATGTTTAAATATGCCAAAGTTAGGTCCAAGATAACTACCGGTCTTCTTGCTTTAAAAGGAATTTAACAGAAAATTAACTACTAGTATAAAAATCCTTCATTATTTACATGACGTATTTTGATTGAATTGTTTTGAAAATCAATTCCAAATGAAGTTTATGTACTTAGTATTGGTCTATTTATTATTGTTGTTTTTATTATATTTTTGTAGAATTGTATTCCTTGTTAGGTGAACCCTGGTATTTCAAATCATTAAAGGATAGAAAAACTGGCGATAGGAAATGTCAAGAAAGTTGGGAAGGTAGTACATTTCAGAGATGGTTTTTCAACATGTATATTTATATTAGGGGGTGATGTAATTCAGCTGAATTCCTGACGATATCCAAATTTAAATTAAAGTAACATATACATGTAATTAGTTTGAAAATCATAACATTTCAGTTCTTCAGACTTGTTAATTGAGGAATTAAATTTTAGGATGGAACATTTTTGATACGAGAGAGTACAAAACAAGGAAATTTCCAGCCCTATACAATGATGGTCTTATTCCAAAACAATGTGTATAATCTGAAAATTCGAGTACGAGCTGATGGCAAAATGGCTCTGGGAGAGGAAAAACCGGACGAAATGGTGGGTAGTGTTTATTTCATTCATTATAATTAAAAAGTGTTGCATGGTAAGTTAACTCATACAAGGCACCTGACCCCACCTCTTGGGTTGGTGTTTATGCCCTACACATAGATTGAACTGTTGTATTTTGATTTTTTGATATTGAATACATAATCCTCATCTCTGTATTTATTGAAATGGAGTATCAATCATTTATTTAAAAATAATTTATAAAATATTTGACAAGCATTTCAAATTATATAAGCTTTTTATTAATAAATGAAGATTTGCAATGAAGTTCCTTTAATTGAAGAACAATTTTTCAGAAGATCACTTTCCACTAACCTTATTTATGTTCCCTAAAGTTCCTGAAGCAGCTATTACTAGTACATTTATTTAAAATATTTTAAAAAATCAGTTCAGTTATTAACTCTTAACGCAACTTAAGTTTACAGAGAGTGTACACTTTCTTTTTCAGTCCTTTATGGATGTCCAGAAACTGGTCAAGTACCACAGAGATACGGAGGTTATACTAGTGGGAAACACAGGGCAACACAAAACATTGCTCAAATATTCTCCTCCCCAAAACTCCATGTAATTAACAGCAACATCTAATGAACAACAGAAAAGTGCTTGTAAATAATTTTCTCCATAATACTCCATCTAAAAATCAGTCGAGAAATGCTTAAATATTT